AAAGTAAAAAATCGTAACACATATTTTTATAATGACAAAAACTTTGAAAAACATCTTAAACGTCCCTCCAGCTTTACATACTTGAGAGATCTGAAGCGCGCAACTCTCAAAGAGAGTGTGAAGGATAAAATCTCACGTCTATTAAGCATGAAAGTATAAGATTAACATTTAATATAAAACCCAACTCTTAATGGTAAGTACTATTTACTCATTTTAAAAGCTTGACATCACAAGGGAGGAAAGCTATGAAATTTTAAATCATGAACGGGTGAAACTTAACATCAAGAAATGGATAAAAAGCTATCATGCCAATCGAAGCGAAAAGTGCAACCCCAAAATAACAGAGATGAACCATGCCAGAGTCTTAGAATACCATAAGTGTGTTTCAAGGAACTTCCAAGCGAACTTTAGATGTTAATAGCTCACGAAAACGACATGAGTTTACCAGTTACCAGACTTCAGCAGAAAGGAAAACTTAAAGAAAATCATTTAACAAAAGACGACTTTAGTGATACAAGCAATTTCAGCCTAAATCTTTTTCATGACAAGGAAAGAAAATACACCCTTGATTATCACCATCAAATATAAATCCAAGAAGTAATACGTACTGTATATCTATCATTATTTCCCGTATCAAAGAGCCAGAAGTATCACTGGTTCTTGAATAAGAAAGAAAAAAATGTCATCAATAAGAAATTACTCATGAATTACTTGTAGGAAGAAGAGCAACATAGGCAAATCACATCAATTTTAAATGATAAGTTAAAAATTTAAATTTAAATTAACCTCTCTTATGACGGCTAAAAATGACAAATTAAGCCTTCTTCACAATAAATTTGAAGTCGGGGATTTTTCTACCTCAGGTGCCCATATCTCTTCATACTTGCATGCAATCAGCATTGAGTTGATGCCAACCAACTGAAGTTCCCTTCTTGAAATAGTCCTCATTGAAAGAAAACCGTGTACTATATTGATTGTGAGGTATAGGCTTTCAGGCATCAGATCAAATTTCTTGTGAACTTCAACCAACCAATCTAGAAGGATCTTTCTCATTTCAGAATTGATTTCCGGCTACAAATCCATGTAATCACTGTTATATATTTATACAATAAATATAATATTTGACAGAAATAATTAATTAAGATGAAGTGCCCAACTGGTGAAAAGTGTGGAATTTGTGTGGGAGGTCAGGTGTTCGCGCC